CCTCAGTTCAATCCAAGCTGGAATCTTAAGGAAGGGAAGGGACTGAGGACTACTTTTTTGAATTAGGATTATTAAAGCAAAGCACAGGCATTTTCTGCAAAAATAAAAGGAGTTAGCCTCTTTTTAACAAGTAAATAACTTTAATTAACAGTAATCAGGAGAATAAAAAGCAGTGAACCTGAGCAGACGCTGTAGCACTGTTATATAAGCAACAGAGAAAACATTGTAGCGGTAATTCTTTGTTGCCTTTTTAAAAACCACTCATCTTTGTTAAATCCTAAATCCTTAATCAAAGCCTTAATTTAATTCAAAAATCCCAATGATATCAGAAATAAAACACTAATGTAGACTGTAACCTATGAGAATCACTTTTCAAGCTCCTTCTTAAAAAAAAAAAGTCAATTAGCCAATTTGACCTTGGCTGATATTTTGGCCACACCCGTTATAGAAGGCAGTCCCTATAAGGAGGACAAGTAAGAAACCTGTACCTTTGGCTCTCTAGGTTGACCTACCCCATTTCAAAAAATGACACCAGAGCTCTGTGAAGGGATAATTAGCATATTACTACCAGGTATATTGGAGACAGAATTGGTGCCTGCTTTAAATAACTTTGCTTAGAATGTTGAAAACAAAGGTGCCAAATGATGCCAGACATCTCCAGGGGAGCCTGACCCCCACCCCTCCCTCCCCATCTTTCGAAGTCCTGGGGTTCTAAGCCTAAGCCAAAATCTGGAACCATTATGGTGCCTGGAATCATGAGTCTAAAGACAGTTATAACTTCTTCCCTCGACTGTTTAATAATGGTCTCTTAATTAGCATCTCATCAATTCCTCCCTGCCCCTCCCCATCCTATTATATTCTTCATTGAATTAACCTATCTTTTGAAAACAACAAACAGAAAGTACAGATAGAAGAAGCAGACAGAATCATGTAAATTTAAAATATACAACTTGTCAGAGAAATTATTTTGCCAGGATACTAATACTGCAACTGGTGCCTCATGAAGAACATATCTAAAATGTGTTTAGCCTCATTTAATATGTTTGGAAACTTCAAGCTGTATGTGAAAAGACAAAACACCTGGGAGCAGAAGACACAACCTCCCAAAAAGGATAATCTGTAACACTTTAGTATCAACATTTTTAGTTGTCCTTCTCCCTCAATCAGGCAATTTATCGATCAGGAGGTCCTTCTGAATGACTTCTGGACAAAATAAACACTCCAGATTAATAACTGAGAAAATTGACCAAAAAATGCAATCTGAATGGCTGCAACATGGTCTTGGCAGTCTGCCTCCTATTTACATTTTTCATTAAAGAGGACATATATGCTTTTGTCAGACAAAGATGCTTAACAGCTTTAAGTAAAACAGACTGTTGCCACATTTTGCTGTCAGTGTTTAATATATTTCAGCATTCTTCAGATTGTTTACTATCATGCAGAAATCAAGGGTTTGTGTTAATAGGCCTTGTTGGTCTGTAACTTTTCTATAACTTCTCCCCTCCAGTGAACTCAAGGCAATTCCATTCCAAGTGCCTTCCATTCTGCTTGACAAAGAGGAGAGGTTTAATTCTCTTTGGGCAACTCAAGTTGGTCCAGGACAGAGACTCGCTCATTTTAAGACTTGGAGGTACTGCTCAGTTGGGATGTCCAGTAACTCTACGCCTGATCCACTTGGCCTCCAGAAGCAGAGACAATGAGTTATTTTGTTATTCATTTTTGGAAGAAACCAGGTTTATGTCAGCGACAAAAAATAAAAATCTAAACACATGATTAGGTGTAACTGATTTAGCTCTGAGCAGTATTTGTATTTTCTAATTCCTAAACAGTGTTTAAAAATTACAGCCTTTGGCTTTAATACCCTCTGTCTCCTTCTTTCTCAATTATGAGGTAACAAATGTGCTTGAGAGTCCTGTGGCTGGGAAAAAAGAAAAACATTTTTTTAAAAAAAGGGAAACAGTTCTAAGATGTTTTAAAACAATGGGACCAGCCCACTCTGTGGTTCAACGAACAAATCTCCATTCATGTAAATGGAATTCCCCAGGTACATAAATAATACATGGTAGCAAATGATGTCAGTATAACAGCAAGGACCCTTGCTGTTATGCTGTTAACAACCGCATGGCAGGCAAATATTCAGTAAGCAGAGCCTTTTCTAACCAGGATATATAGTAATTGGCGGGGGAGGGGAGGAAGAAAACATCTATATATTCTGTTTAACTAATACTGTATGCAATTTTCCAAATGTTAAAAGGCCCTGAAAGGAAAAAATAAAAAGTTAACAGTCCTTAATATTTAGTTGCGGGGGCGGGGGGGGGTGTTCCTAAGAAAACTATGGAGAAACATTTCTCGAGGAAAAAAGCGACCATCTGGAAATTGTTGGAGCTACATAGTCCTCAGGCCATGGGTTGCCCTTCCCTTTCCCACCTCTTGGTCAACAGAGAATTATCTAAAACAAAATACTAAGGTTTATATTACCATAGTAATTTCATGGGCAAACTCATAGAGTTGGTCACAGAGCACTGTGAAATCTTCTGAATTCTCCAGGACACTTCCAACAGGTCAGAAAAATTAGAAAGCAGCACAGGCAGGTTATAAATAAGTAGGGATTTTGGAGTGACGGACAGAGCGCCTTGTGGGGAGGAAGCTGAAGTTCAAGCCACGGCATCTGCATCTTTTTACTTCTCTGCTGTAACCATTTCCAGGAGTAGTTTTCTTAAATCTTTTCCACAAGGCTCTTCATTGTTTCTGCATCTGATTGTAGACTTAATATAAAAAAGTGGAAGAGGCTTCACACATTAAAACCAGACTCTTCCAGCTACTGAAATAGTTTTCTCCATGCGCTGACTATCCACTGCTCTCCTGTTTGTCCTGGGATGGGCAACCCATAGCCTGGTTGCGTGCAGCTCCTGCAGGAGTGGAAGCAGCTCTCTCCATCCACACCACTACAATTCCAGCAGCTCCCACACTTCTTCTTTTTTTTCTTCTAGGAAAGAAGAGGCCCTGCTCTGTCCTGCAGTCTCATAAGACTCTATTATACAGGAGAATGCTCTAGCTGTTGTACCATAGAACTTTACTGGCAACTACGACCACAGTAATTGCCAGATTTTGCTGGCAGAGCCAGCAGGCCATCTGGTGACAATGTGGCCCTCACAGGATTATGGGAGTATGCGCAACGTGATTCCTCCTTTCCCACAAACAATATGGGATCTAGGATTATGATAAACACGGGGGCGGAATTCAACAGCTTGCCCAGCATTTAGTAGCCTCTGAGTTGGCTCATTCAAGGAATTGCTTTAGTATGGATGTAGATTTCAGGAGGGAAATGTGTCTTCTGACTGATACAGACAACTTCACTTATTTTCATATTGATATCATTTTTAAAGTAAGAAGTTTATAATCTAAGCTCCAGAAATTAAGTGAACTAACATTAGTGAGCCACAGATGTGTTTCATGTAAAACACCTTCCAGAAGAGTTTTGAATTAACTAAAGAGTATACTAGGCAAAGCTTGCATTAAGTGTGCTCAAAAAAGATTCTCAAATTGCCTCCATACAGTGAAATCGTATTCCTGTTGCAATTACTGTATCGATATTCTTTCATGATCATCATTTATTACATGTGTAGCTTGCTTTTCCTCCAAGGAGATCACCGATATCTGTGATCAATGGAGCTTGCTCCCAAGCAACTGTGCACAGGATTGCAGCCTTACGATCTTATTCCATTTTCAGTGGCTGAACTGTGAATCTTTTAATCAAATGATGCTTGCTTCTATGTAAATAGGTACAAATTGATGTCATACAACACCATCCTATATGTATCTACTTGGAGGCAAGTAAAAATAAGTGCCACTGAATTAAGTAAGCTCCCAGTTAAGTCTGCATATAAGTCTGCAACCTCAGGCTTAACAGGGATCCTTCTGAATTCAATGATGCTTATTACTAAATAGAGAGGTACAGGGTTGCACTGTTTGTAAAAGAAATCAGATTTCTCCTGCACCACCATAACCAACATGAGTTCTATCAGACAGGGAAAGGACCTTAACTGCCTTTTCCTTTACTCTTGATGGGGACAACTCTGAACTACTGATTTTAAAAAAAAAGAATAGAACAAAATAAGACACACGCACAAAATAAAACCCAGCCAAGTCTATTTTAATCTATTTGCCAGTATGATGTATTTCCCTCTCCCACCTCCAACAAAGAACACAGAACGTGTTTTTTATTTAGTTCTGCATCCTTCTCTATGTTTCACCTATCAGAACAGCTGAAGTCTGGCTGGCCTTCCTCCACTCCTTTCTTACTGCTGCAGTGAGCTAGGCCCCTGAAAGCCATCAGGATGATACAGTGAAGAAACTGAAATGTGAGTCAGATTATTTCAACCTGATTAGATTCAATGTCAAGAAACAAAGTATGCCTGCAGCTGAATGTTGCAAGAGGAAGGTATCCTTCTATAACCTGAATTTAAAAGAAGTGTTTTCCTAGCTATTGCTTCAATTGTGTTGACCGGGTTGTAAGAAGGGGGTGGCATTTCCATCTAGCAAAAGGCCTAGAATGCAGCACCAGAGAGTAGCTGCTGGTTAACGAATGATCCAGGCAGATTGGATTTTACAAGGGCATCAATACACCATCAACATACAAAATTCTCTTTTAATATAGGAATCTGTGAGTGCTACATTCAGCTTGCCCAAGGGACTATCCTCTTTGCCTTGCTTTTGGTAGCCCTCCAAAGGCAGCCCAGGGAGAGAGCAAAGGTCCTCCCCGCTAGTGGGGAGACTGGTGTGTACATCCTCATCACACTCAACTTGAAGGACTGAGAGCTAGAAGGGGGGGGGACACTTCCCTCCCAAATACACACAAGAAGCAGCACTGTACCATTTGTTCACTGATTTCATACACTTTCTTGATCTTGGTCATCACACAATTACCGGACCATGAATGCTTTGGAGAGATCTCATGAAAGACTCAAAACAAAACAAACAAAAAACAGTTTACACAAGGGCCAGCTTCAAAGAGCCATTTCATTAAGCAATATACATTGAATATATGCATCCACCCCCCCCCATCAAAGCATCATTGTTCCCATCAAGCAATTAATGTATGTCTTAAGTCTATTTCTTCATGCACACTTCACCTTGCACTAAGATCCTGAGATGGGAGCATAAACCTTAATAATCCAAACGCAAGTGGGTCCTGCCCTGTACTATCAAGCACTGTGAGGGTCATCTCCCAAAGTACTTCCTCCCATTTTAGATATATTTATATAGTTATGTATTCTTTTTTAAAAAGAGAAACCTTCCAGAGGAATGGGGGTTGGTGGGTGGGCATCTAGTGGCAAGTCTTTTGCAAGTGTATCTAGTTCACAGGGGCAGACACAGCTGGTAAAATCAGGTTTTTGTAGTTGCCCATCTTCTAGTCCTGCTAGAATATTAGAAAGTCCAAAGTGTCCACCTCCTGTCTTGTGGCTCATGGTGCCTTCCCAGGGGTGGGAACCGGTGGCTGATGCGCACAGATCTGACCTGCATCCCAAGTGCCAGCCAGCACAATATTATACCCCATCTCCGGGCAAAGCAAACCATATTGAAAGGAAGGCCCTGGAAAAGTCTATGGACACCGACCGGCATTTGCCTGATCAGGCCTCAAGCTAACAAACCAAGCTCCATGCCTGTTGTCTGTCTAGGGTGACCCCGCTTCCTCGGGGCCTGCCCTGCTCTACCGCTGCTGCTTCTTCTTCTGCTTTAAGGACTTTCTGCGCTTGAGGATCATCTCGTAGAGTTTGTCCATGCCCTCCGTGAGCCCCTCTCCGATGATGGCACAGGCTGGCTGGATATGGTAGGTGGTGGACGGGGTCAGCTCCTGCAGAGCCAGCTGCTTCTCGATCTCCGCCACCGGCAGCGATTTGGGGAGGTCCTGCTTGTTGGCGATCACCAGCAAGGGGGTGCCTTGGTTTTCAGCGAACTTGGTGACTTTGTGGAGCTCCGTCTTGGCTTCCTCCAGCCGGTCCACGTCGACGGAGTCCACCACGTAAATGATGCCGTCGGTGCAGCGGCTGTAGGACTTCCAGAGGGGCCGCAGCTTCTCCTGGCCCCCGACGTCCCAGAAGTGGCAGCTGATGCCCTTGGCGGTGCCGTTGCTCAGCCTGATCTTCTCCGTGTTGAAGCCGATGGTGGGCACCGTGTTGACGAACTCGTTGAATTTGAGCCGGTAGAGCACCGTGGTTTTGCCGGCAGAGTCCAAGCCCAGCATGACGATGTGCAGGGACTGGAAAGCAGAGATGTTGGAGGAGATGTTCCCCATGGTGCGGACAGAGCGCTGGGCTCGGCAAGAGCCGCAGCGGAAAGATCCTCCGTTCGTTCCGGCTGAAGACTCGCGTCGCCTCTTCTCCGCTGCCCGCGGCTGCTGCTTCTCTTACACCATTCCCGCCAGATGCTGGTCAGGTTGCAATCAAAACGCCAACTCACCCCCGCCGGCCATCACCCCGGAGGCCCGCTCAGGAGGAAGGAGAGGGGATCCTGAAGAGATCCTCGCCAGGGATCAGCGCCGGTCGGTGGAACTCACCCCCGAGCGCCCGGGGGGGCGGGCGGCAGCGGCGGTCGTGCCTGTCGCCATGAATCCTCATTCAGCAGCCGCAACCTGAAGCGCCGCAGCCGCAGCCACAACCCCGAGGCGCGGCCGGGCTGTGAAAAGCCGCCAAACAAAGCCGGGGCCACTTGCGAGTCTTTCCAGAAAGAAAGGAAGAAAGAAAGAGAGGGAGGGAGGGAAGGAGGGAGAGGAAGACGGAGCCTCGCCTCGCCTCGCCTCGCCCAGCGGCTGGGGCAGGGCTAGCTCCGAGCAGAGCCGCTTGCTGCCGGCTCATTCATTCTTCAGGCGGGAAGCGGCGCCCTTTTCCTCTCGGCCCCGGCTCCTGCCGGCGAGGAAGCCTCTCTTCCCCGAAAACCGCCGGGCTGGAGAAGCCCCGGCTCTTCGCGCTTCCGCCCCGCGGC